TGTGTGCATCAAGGACCAAGGCAGCATGACATATGAAGAGTAACCTATTTTCCACACTGAAATTGATATGAATTTTGATATGAAAATTACCTCCAGGGTTTATTAACATCTGGATGGAGTATCCAGATATGCATGTCACACTACAACATGCATATTTCATACGATGCAATACAAACTTTCAATAAAAATTGTTGGGTTTGTAACTATGGATGACTATAAATCCTTAAAATGTGTTAGTGACTGCTTGCCTCTGCACAAATATGCAAATTGTCCTGATTTAGTGTTTTTATTTGCATCTGTATCTTTTTAATGATTAATGATTCTTTCTATTTTTGTCATTCAAATTTACACACATATAGCAGACCTATTCCTCTCAACCAAACTGATCTGAAATTAAAACTCTACCCTCTCATGCCGTTGTCAGTAACCTTTTTTGGAGACAGCAGATAAAAGCTAGCTTTTAATATACAAGACTACAAGCAAACAAACTGGCAGGTTACAAACCAACCCACGACCTCCACACAGGCAGCAAAGTCGACTCCTCTCACCCACCCAGGAAGCTTCTGCAATTGAATAGTTTAAAGAAGGTGCTTGTTATTGTCTGTGTGTGTGTGTGTGTGTGTGTGTGTGTGTGTGTGTGTGTGTGTGTGTGTGTGTGCAAGAAAGTTGCTCAGTACTGAATGCCTGTGCATACTAATAGCATTTTATTTGCAGCATGAATGTCACCACTGAGGTAGGGAGACGAGTCGGGGGAAGAAAACAAACACAGGAGGTGCTAATGAGAGAAAGAATAGGAGGAGAGACTAGGTGTTAATGTAACTTGCTGTCTCTCCCGTGTCTTCACTCAATGTGTAACTGTTAAGGCCTAAATATAGTCTCCGAACAAGGTAGGATGACAGGTCGAAAAAGCCAAGTTGTCTTTGCAGGTGGGGTGAGAAGTCGGATGTCATTGTGACAGGGGGAACTACGAAGCAGAAGCAGTAATTAGCAAAAAAGAAAAAAGAAAAGAAAAAAAAATAAACAAGGTCCAGAAAAGACAATATTGTAGAGCACACAGGTTTCCACATTTCCTGGACTGGGTTTAATATAGACACACAGCTGTGCAAACTTAACCCTCTGCTCAAGAATGTGTTTTGCTTATCGTTACTTCACTTGAATGTTTGACCTTCACTGTGCAGAGTTTGACACTAAAAAAAGCTGTTTTCACATTCATCTGCTGAAGGAGAAAGGTTTCTCTGTGCTCACCTTAAATCACACATATAATATATCAGGTTCAATATACAACGTATACTAGTGTGATATGGTAAGTTGAAACTCCAGTGTAAACACACTGAGTCCAGAAGTTAAACTTTTGAGCAATATTGAATAGTCATAGATTCTGGGTGTATTTTATGTCTTAAAACATGTCTGGAGGGGATCTTTAAAGCATTAGTATGTAGGATTTAGGGGAATCTATTGGCAGAAATGGAATATAATATTCATAATTACGTTTTCATCCACAGCCGTGTTTCCATTAGCTTAGAATGAGCCCTTCATATCCACATAGGGAGTGAGTTCTCTTCCACAGAGCCCACCATTTTGCACCATCATGTTTCTTTAGTAGCCCAGAACGGACAAACCAAACACTGGCTCTAGAGAGGGTCTTTTACTTTTTTAGGTTACATGAAGGCCACTGTAGGTTCTTCCAACATGCTTGGAAAGGGAGGGGTGAGGGGAAGGGTATTCAGGGGGCGTGATATTCAGATGGTTGCAATCTCCGATCCCACCGCTAGATGTCACTAAATCCTCCACACTGGTCCTTAAATTGAAAATTTGGAGTGAAGGTGTGGAGAGGGTCAGCTACCTTTTGGCACTAATGGGTCATGTCCAGTGTTCAGAACTTGATTCTGATTTCAGCGTCTCTATCTAGCACAATAGCACTATCAAGTGCTACACAGAGAAACAGAATTTTGTACCAAACAAAAATGTAAATATATCAAAATTAAAAAAGGTTTAAAATATAATATACAAGATGAACAAACAGAATATAGTATTGACTGAACTGTGAATGAGCCTTGTAAGGTTATCCCCCTACAATACACATAGTCTTCTGATGTAAACTAGGGCTGAACAATTAATCAAAATATTATTGAAATCACAATATGGCCGAGCGCTAAATTGGAGGAGCTGAAATTTTTTTTAATAAAAAAGGTCAAATATGTCACAACATACCATAAATTAAGCATTGTGGTGTTACAGAGATGCCCCAGCCTACAAATCATATTCTTCAGAAGTTTTTTGGTAAAGCCACAGCAAAAAAAAATCAAATTTTTCAGTAAAAAATAAATGCAAAAATGACCATTTTAACTGAAATCGTGACTAATAATGCAATCGCAATATAAAATTATCGCAAAAAGATTTTTCTTACATATTAGTCAGCCCAAATGTAAACTGACACAGCGCCTGTTTAATTCACAGGTATGCACATGCACAGATACATATAGACACCGATATATATGTATACATACAAATAGTCCCAGTGGTGGTGGTAAGAGCTGAGACAGGAATAAATGGCTAATGTGAGTGTTTGTGACAGGCAGCCTGAGGCAGTGTGGGGAGCAGCTCAGCTCCCTGACAGGTGTTGCCTCCCCAACTCCCTCAACTCCTCGCCACCTCAAACTAACACATAGGCTGCATGCTGGGGAGCCAGGGGTGCATGTGGGGAAATAAGCTGGGGGTTGCTCACTATATATGTGTTTGTGTATTGTGATAGCGTCACAGCAGTGTGTGTGTGAATGTATGTCTGTGTGTGTGTATGTTTGTCTTCTCCTCTGGGAAATAAGGGAGCTCCCAAACTACTCAAAGTTGAGCGTTTTATGGTGGAATGGGGAAAGAGATGGAGGTGGAGAGACTTTTTTTCTTTAAGTCTCCAGCTGTGTTGTTGCCAGTAGATGCAAGGTTGATGGAAAATGCGAGGAAGAGAGGGAAGCCCACCTGCTAAGCAGAGAGATTTGATGATGGGACTCTTGAATCAGATTCACTGGTCCTTTCAATCTGCTCAAAAGCTGATGCAAATAATATATAAACCAAGCACATCTTTCTATTTAATCATATTAGTGAATTCTGCCAGGTTTCTTGGCTCTTTGTTAAGTACGTGTGACATTTTAGACAGCAGAAAAATCAAGCTGTGGAACAATGAAGGTGTTAAGACAGTTGAGCAGGAAAAAGTGAGACCGAACAAGAAGAACAGGTGAGAAAGAGGGACATGTGGGAAGGGAGAGACATTGGTAAGATTTAAAGTTGTATGCTCTCTAGATTTCTCACACACTGCATACAGTACACTACTTCAATTATATCATCAGCTGAAAGCAGCAGAAACCTCACCCTTTATTTTACTTAAAAGTACAGTTAAATGTACAGATAAAATTTTGCTTTGCACCTAAAGTCCAAGCTTCATTTAATCCAAGTGTTGACAAAAAGATGCTCAAACCTGTCAAACACACACCCATTATCAATGACAGAGTCAGGTCAACACTTGTCTACTCTGTACAATCACAGACAGAAAACACCCCTTTAAGTCGTCACCCTACTTCTACAAACACAAAGACATGTCTGCACATACAACGACACGCTCTATTGACTTGTCATGTCGGAAAAAGAAGAAAACGAGTTAAACTTACAAATATGTCGAAATTATTGTAAAACACAGGACACACACACACACGCGTGCACAGGAATGTGTCTTGAGTCAAACTTCTATCTATCACCTCTCTCTAACTCCCACACACTGTGCTGCTGGTTGACTCATTATCAGTCTGAATTCTGAATTTGACAAGACTGTGCGTCAACACACACATTTGAAAAGAGAAAGCCGAGCTGTCTAAGTCTACATGGAGACAACAATCAATGCCATGACTGTACATGCATACAAGGAGGGTTAATCAGATTACAGAAAAGCATATAACACCTGTGGCTTTCATGGGAATAAGTGTAAAATGCATTGTTCATGTTCCTGTTTTCATCCAATATGCAGCACTGTTAAAATAGATGATTATACATGAACCCCAACAGGCTACAAAAATCACCAATGATTTCTGCTCTAACAAAATACACATACTGTACATCTCCACCATCAAATTTATGTTGCTCCCACATCACTATCATAATCTATCAGTGTAAAGATTCATTATCAAGGATAGTTGTAAACAGAGGTACTGTAACAGCTATAGAAATTGATCATTTAATGCACTGAATCAAAATAGTTTTATTGGCAGGTTTTTTTTATGTACATACTAGGGATCCCCTGATCTCACTCATAGGTGAGGTCAGCTGACAGTTAAAGAAACAGTTACTGAAAAGCACCACAATGTGACATGAAACATGAAGTATCTGGACCTCAGTGTTAATAACAACTGAGCAGATTAAGTCTTTTTTTGTGTGAACTTTGACATGTATTTAGTTTCACTGAAGGACTCAACAAGCCGCAAAACTACCAAGTCAGTGAGATTAACTCTCACTAGCAAATATCTTGAAGAAAGCATTGACATTATGTTCTCGAGAAGTGGCTTTCAAGTGTTTGATGGGGTTACAGACTTTTTATATATATCTCCACTCAAGATAACACAAATGTTATTGAAGAATATGTGAAGTTATACTGTCTAAACTTATTTTAAAGTTGAATGAAGAAAAAAACTAACAATTTACTGAAAAAAGAGGTTTACTGAAATTGGCAAAGACATAGGATGTTTCGCTTGAAATGAAATGTTGCAAATAAAATGATTGAAGTGAAACAGTGTGCAAGGTTTTTTTGTTTGCTACCTCGAATACATTAATCCTGCTCCTACCCACCTGTGTCACTAATTAGGTGTGAAAAGTATTATTGTCCGTCGTGTAAAGTGTTAATTAAAACATCAAATCAACAGTTTTGGGAAGTATTTAGTACAATAAAATTCAACTCAATAGGCCCACAAATAGAAAACACAGCTTTGAATCTTGCTGAAAGACCAAAATATTTCACTCACCAGCATCTTAGCCCTTTCTTGCTCTTCATGGGCCTTCCCTTTCTCAATGATGAGAGCGGGCATCAGCTCATCCACGCCTGTGGTCGCAGCAGTCTCTCTCTCCCTCTGGGCCAGTCTGGCTAACTGCTCCTGCACCAGGGCCTGTTGACGCTCAAAGCTGAAGCAGGGGAGGATAAGAACTGTTTAAACCTTTTCCCCTGTATTTATCCAGTAAACGTCTGTCTGCTAAAAATGCAAGAGAGCAGTAAGGTCAAAAGGGGGTTTGGTATGAGTAAAACTAATATCTATATTTTTGGGATAGACTCCAAAAAAACAACATACAAAACAACAACAACAAAAAACAAACAAACCTTATGCATAGTTTGCTTCAGTAATGTGGTATTCATGAATCCATGAACTGTTGTGTGAAATCTCATTAAAGTATCACATTATATCAAACAAGTTAGGGTTTATAGTGAATACTGCAGTTTTAAGTCACACTATGAATTCATAACATACCAGAATATGATTCGACCTACAATATAATGCAACCCAATCCGACAGCATCATGAAATATGGCCTAGGAAATTACCATAAACTTCACTGCCACATAGGCTCAACTAAATCTTATGATTGCCAGCTTTACAACAACATTATTTATTGAAAAGCAGAAGTATTGGGTTGATTGATATACTTCTGTAGTACCTACAAAACTGATATACAGCCCAAAGATTTAAACCACTCTCATCTTGGCCATGAGCCTATTTCTCTAACTTGTTAACTACATAGACCCACATCATTAAGAACAGATTATATTCCTGAGGTTTGGCACTAATAACACTGATCAAAAATATAATAAACTGTATATTATGTCTAACTAGTTTCCAGGAGACAGCATTACAGTGAGAGTGGACCTGCCAACATGTTAGCGTTCTATAGACACTCAGTATTGTATATGAGCATTCCAGCAGCATAGCAACATGCCTGTTATATAGACAGAGTAAATCAGCACAGGCAGTGTTCACAGGTCGCTCGGCAAGTGTATGTTCCCTGTAAACATTGCACATTAGTATCAACTGTCTGCTATGTTATACATCTGTCACCTCCACTGGTTTGAAGCTGACTGTTGACACAGAAAGCTCAACTTAAATATATGACAATATACATGAACATCAAATTCCATGCTCAATCTTTCATTTACGCAGAATGAATTTGCAATTATTAAGTGACATCTCAGGGAGGTGTAAAATCCCAAGTTAGTCAATATTAATGCATTATTTTAATATATAGTAAATAATATATAATATAATACAATAAATTGTTCATTCATGAATAAATGAATAGTAAAAAGTAATAATAAATAATAAATTCATGCAAAGTTATGGCAGGTCTTAACCTTGACATTATGAACACCTACTCTTTGCGCAGTTCTTCCTGTATTTCTGTAGTGGATGGTCCTGTTGGTTTTGGACCTGAAATTCAAATAGGATTAATATTATCATAATATAATAATAATAATAATAATAATAATAATAATAATAATAATAATAATAATAATAATAATATATTAGTACTATTAGCAATTATAATATGCATCAGTTTCCAGGACAGATGGAACAAATGGTAACTGGTATATGAGGGGTTAAGTTCTGGCCAATCAAGATCCCTGTGGGTATGACACCTGTCTTACGAAATGATCTGTGTTAAGTTGACTAAAATAGGTCCCCTTTTAAACCATTAACTAATGCTAACATAATTATCAAGAAACAGCTAAATGTAGCTTTAATATTTACAAACTTTAATTATCAAATAACATATATTTGAGCAACAATGAGGCAGCTCCTGACACAGTTAAAGCATACCATATTCTGTTCTTTCTATAATGAAAAATCTAAATAAAGTTACACAGCACTAGAGTTGATCTTTATCCTGATATTGTTCTCATCAGTCAGTCTATGTGGACAACTGGACAAACACTTGGTGGTTTATCAAGTACACCTAGCTAAAATTAATGTGGTCTAATGTAGTCTTGATTAATACAGCAGTCCTGTAACAAATCCCTACCTTTATGAAAGTTTCAATGTTCAGCTTTTGTTGAAACCGTTTTAAACAGGTGTCAGCTACATGATCATTTTGGGGAATGCAGTCTTTAGTGCTGTTGAACTACATTACATCATGTAGACAGGTGTTCCTATTATTTTGCCCACCCCAATCACATCAGTGAGGGTAGGTTAATCAAAACACACAACTCGTTGTATAATGCAATACAGTTCAACAGCACCACAAACTACAGGCTCCAAAATTATCATACAGCTGAAATGACACCTCCTTTAACGTGGTTTTAACAAAAATGGATTATTATAACCTTCATAAAGATAGAATTTAAAGCAGGACTGTTGTATTAAACTGCATTAGTTGTAGCTAGGTGTTGCTAATGAACTGACAAGTGAGTGTATTTGCTGACAGAGTGGGAGCTCAGTGAGAAAAGACAGGTCTTTGAATGGGACATACGCGGTGGTGGCTTGTGACTGTCCAGTGGAGACAGTGGTGGCTTGACGCTGTCAGACCCCTGAGATTCCCTCATCCGCCGGAGCACTTCCTCTGAGAGCTGGAGCATGGGAATAAACACATGCACTTAAACACACACACACATGCAAGGCAGGGCAGGATAGATGCGTGCCTTGGTAAGCAGCAGATTAAAAACGCAATCACTGTACAGCTGTGCCTGACCTCTCTGACCTTTCTGAATAGTGGAACAAAGAGTAGCTATCTGCCTGCATGGATGCTCACATGAACACATTATTAATTTACTCTCCTGCTGGACACTGCGCAGGTTCACAGGTGGGACACAAATGGAAACTGTGTGGCAAAGAAAATGAAAATAACTAATGTTATGATTTGTGACGTTCGCCGTCACAATTAAATTAACTCTCAGCTACAGTAATGTAACTCCCTTACATGTAGTTGACACAGCACACTTAGCTAATAGTTACGTTACGCTATGGAAATTTCGCCAACATATTAACGTTATACTGCATTATGTGTGTGGAAATCTGCCCTTTACTTGCCTTTTACGACTAGCAACGCATCGTAATTCAAGCCGCTATAAGAGTAGCTTACTAACCTTTACATGGCGGTAACGGTCACTGGGGATAGAGAGGGGCTATGACCGGGTTCATTCGAGGACATGGGACCTGTCAGTCTGTCAGTGCACCTTAGCCCGACACCACCGCAAAAGCCCACAAGCTAACCGTTATTAGCTTTAGGGGTTATGACTGATAACAGCTAATTTCAAACTTTGGCTTCACGTTTCCCCCTTCAGAGTGATACATAGCGTTATATCTACCTTCACTCCTTCAATTACTGTGACCTTCTCGTCTTCGTCCAGTCCAAATGACACTTTTCTGGCCGTGCTTCCATTTCCTCCCATTTTCACCAGCTGTCGGTTCCCACCTGATTAGAAAAAAGTAATAGCAACCCTGTCTATGGTTATGACAGGGATACACATTCATGAGAAAGCGGCAGGAATCGCCGCCACAGCGACTGGTGGTCAAAATACTCCAATAAAGGTCACTCCGGCACTGCAGTATCCTCAAAGCTCATTGGTTGGATAAATAATTCGGACCCAATGAGTCATGGTCGTGCAGCTGTGTGGACTAAGGGCAGATGGGAGTTGTAGTTAAACTCTCTAGCTGACGTGAAGACTGACCTGTGAAGCTTTTTTAAGACAAATGCAACACAAGGACATATGAATCCTGGATGTTCAAGACAAAACAGTCGCGTCATCAACACATGGGGAAATGCTAGTTTATAAAAAAAAAACAAAAAAAAAACCCTATCCCAGAGTGTAGTTTCCACATGACACCACAGAGTGGAGTCCTATCTCAAATTACAATATACTGTACTGTCCATACCACAAGTCATGACGTAGTGTCCTATTCCCAAAACAACCAAATGAAAGTCCATGGTTTATTCTGTAGTTCATGGAATGCTCAACACATTGCATTAATACAGGCTGAATATTATACAATCAATGCACTTAAATAAAAAGGCAATTTACACGTCATTTGCAAAATGATTTCACCAACACACATTTTGTGTATGCAGAGAGAGCACTTCAATTGCATAACAATGCACCTTGTGGACTCATGTTATCAACAGCAAGCTGATTTCCCAATCACTATTTTAACTCCAAGTGATACAGCAGAGTTCACCAGCACTCAACTATGAATATAAAATATTTTGAGTTGGGCAAATACTTTAATTCCTTGGAAATACCTCACTTCTTTACTGTGTTGTTACTTTACAATGGTGAAAAAATAAATGTAACCCTACATTTTCTGCATACAGGTCACCACTATTTATGAATACTGCTATCTTAAATGGAGTAATCCATTCCTACGAAACATAGTATTTTTAGGGGAAAACCTGCATCCATCATATCTCCTTGGTAGGCGTAAGTAAATGCGAGATGGTTTCAAAAGAATCAAGTGTGCTGTTGTAGTAATACTGTGTATGACAAGTATGATTTCATGAGTTAAGCAAAGGCAAACAACTCAAAGCCTGAAATAAATCAGAATAGAATTTTTCTCTGCAACACTCATAGCTGTATCCTTGATATTGTCTTAAAATTACCCATCACTGACATAACTGCCTGAGCCTCTCTTGCTCAGAAGGAATCAAAAGTTATCATCTATATAATGAAGCTGTATCAATGCCAACATTTGATACTATAAAATTGATTTTTTTGGTCAATTTTTACCACTTGTAATAACATTTATGAAAACTCTGAACACAGGAAACAGGTTAGCAGCAAAATACTCAAAACTCAACTTTGCAACAGCCACCCTTATACAGCGAGCAAAGCTGAATTAGATATGCTGATAGGAAATGAGCGCAGGTCTGAACTGGAATACACAAAATTGGTTTCTGCACATTTGTTGTTCAGATCAAAAAAATGGTAACACTTCCTCAATGACTCTGAGGCCAACAAATGTTCTCTCAGTAGCAGGAATGAGTAATCCGGTGCAAGAAATGAAAGCAAAAGCAGAAAATAAATAAAAGAGGGAAGAAATGTAAAGAGGAGAGCTTATGCCAGAGATGCCATTTAAATTGTTCAGGAATTGTGTCTCAGCCTCTAGAAAAGAGCCTTACAGATGGTTTGCGATCTTTAAAACTAATGCAATGCCTGTATTTAGGAGTTAATGATTTCCTTATTATATTGCAGTGACAAACATCACGCTAACACCGTTCACTTGTTAACAGGACAGACAGCACCTATTTCAGAAGACAAAAGTACACCTATCAAAATGAATTAGCACAAGTCCTTGCCCTGTATAAAGAGGCACAGTGACAGTTGAGTCACAAATCTAATACAAGGCAGCAGATAAAGTCAGTAGAGATGCTGTTACTCAAAGGCTGTAGTGGGAATGTACATATGTTCAGTTGTCATCAAAAGAATGTTAGATAGATTTTTAAGACTTGGGTACTTAAAATGGGGCTAAAACTTCATCACTGAGGATTGAGCAGTTGATGTTGGAATGACAGAAAATGTGCTGAGACGAGTCGGTAAGCCCCCACATTTAAGAACCTGTGGAACAGAATCAATTTGGAGTCTGTCGAGGTCAGGATGAGGGACAGGACTCCTGACGTGGAGCTACAGCAGCAGTGCACTCTGGCAACAGTGTTACAAAAGCAGTTGCTAAATTCACAGTCTTCCAGACAATTGGCCAGCAAAGGTCTCTCCTTAAGTGTCCACTTGTTCATTTATCGTGGCCTCAAAGAAAGACCAAGATTACCCTTCCTTGATGTCCCGCTACTTCGCTCTGCATGTTTTTGGCCAACTCCCCTGGTCATCACCCTGCCTGACACACTACACATGCACAACATTTAAGCCCAGCTGGATAACTATCTCTTCTCCCACTCTCCTCTTCATCCTTTCATGCATTGACAGGTCTCCAGCGGTCAGCTTCAATGTTGTTAATGCTACTGGACCCATAGGGTCCAGAGGCAACATCATCCAGGTATGCTCCCACCATACGAGAGCTGCCGGGACCAGTGCTATCAATCTGGGTAGAAGAGTAGAACAGGCCCTGGTCGGTCAGCTCCTTACGGCCAAGTGTTGTAGCAACAGTGGGGGGAAGGTGGACGTCGCTCTCGTCCGGCTCATCCACCTGCGACTTGTAAGAGAACAGGATCTTGGGCTCTGAACTGTGGGGGAAGAAAGAAAGTCAAGTGTATTAAGTGCAACTACACAGTATTCTGTATATTTTTCATGATTCTCTGTACATACCCAAAGAAGCCTTTTAGGAATGTGACATAGATGAGTGGAGCAAATGTGGAGAAATACAGGAAGGTGGTGACATCCACACAGCTGAATCAGAAAAGACAAAATGAAGACAGGTTCCAAAACTGAGTGATTAGTCCCCTTAAAAGTCAGCTTCATTAGACATAAAAGCCCAACCAACAGGCTACTGCTATAAAGGGATATGTTTGTTATGTCCTCATCCTCTCAACTACACTGCACTGAACATTATAGGACCAACCCAACAGTGAGTCATTCCCCTGGTTGCAACCCAGCCAAAAAAATCAATCACAAAAAGGTTTAAAATCAGCCACCCAGCTCCAAATATACAACATTTTTCTAAAACGCTTGTTCATATATTTCAATCACTCAAAGACAGAAATCCTTTTATAGCTATAGTTCTTTGGTAAATATAGAAATTCGCTGCTACACTCAGCATTCATGAGGATAATACTGACCAGAGTCCCTCTATGACTCCAGCGCATAGCAGAGCGCTGCCCAGGCCCTGGACAAGGTTCAGTAAAGACAGGATGGCAGCATACACATAGAAACTCCTCTTAGCTAAACAGAGGAAGCAAAACAAAGATTAATGAACAACAGAGAACAAGTGCATTCAATTATATGGCATCATGCACTGATAAATAGCACATCAGCAAATGAAGTACAAAGTTTCCATTGATCATAGTTACATGAAAAACAATACTTATCTTTTAACTTATCAAATCTAATTTCTGTTCTTTGCTGCGATTAAATCTATAACTTACATGGCAGAGATATCCTCTCCCTCAGTGGAGTTTTAGGCAAGATCACAATCAAAGAGTACACCTACAAAAAAGTATTACATTATCAATCACAACAAATCAATCATTGGGTATCTGACAAGTATGAGTTTTAGCTTTTTGCTGATGTTGCTACTGTTGCAGCGCTACAGGTTACTGACCAGGAAGAAGAAGCAGGAACTGGCCAACCAGAAGTGCCGTCCTCCGTGGCCGTAGATGTTGAAGTCCTCAGCGGAGAGGTGACTGTCTGGATAAAGGATCTCTAGTGTGCCCTAAAACAATTTATTATCTATATTAATTGAATAAATTGCATAATGACAACTTACCAAAAATGTCCTGTTGTACAATATTAACATCATATATCCAATTAAATTTCATCTAACTTCTCATCATCTGCCATTACCTGTGTGATGGAGTAGGCCAGAGCCAGCACAGCAGTGATGGCCAGCACACGCTTGATACTGGACTTGCTCTCCAGGTGACCTGTTAAATAAGGAAATGGGCTTGACTGAAAAACACATGGTATACAGACTTCAGTTATATAAAGGGAAAGTGGACAACATACTGAACATCTGAAACAGGCGCATCATGTAAAAGGAGACAGACACTACATGGGTTAACGTATAAATTAGAAATGAAACCAGCGCAGCAAACTAACCGAAAGCCAGTCCCAAGATGATAACACTGAGCTCAATAGCCAGCAAGAAGAAACGGGTGATTTCCCACAGCACCTAAAGAGACAACAAACATCATGAGATTCTACTGTGGCAAATTAGCCCAGCTGTGTTGTAACACATATCGAAACAAAACATATGCATAACTTTACAGGTCAGGTCACAGTCTAGAGTTTTATATAATCAATTGTATTTCTTTCTCTTCAACATTGCAGCCATCACAGTGTGCTATGGGAACAGAAGGACCATCACTGTGAACTCCATAGGGTCCAGTCTGGTATGTGAGGAATGTCAGCCATGCTTTTAGTTTTAAGACATGAAAGCCCTACAAAGTCATGCTGAAGCTCATATCATGCCCTCTGGGTACTCCATAAAAGAGACATCCGTGACAAACTGTGGTGACTGCTACTTCAGTATGAGTGAAATATTTATGCTGCAAAGCTGCAATCTGTCATAATACTACATGAACAGTGAAAAATTTTACACTATTAAACTCCAGGAAACCCAAACAAATGAATAAATAAAATAAATAACTAGCCAATTTAGAAAGGAATTCAACAGTATAAACCAGTTTTCACTAAATTGTTTGTTCCTACAAATGAAAAGCTATGTTGTTCCACTGAAGCACACTTTTCACTGTAGTTTACAGTAAACATGAATATCTCGTGATGAGCACAGCTAAGAATAAGTTTCCAGTGACAGAAAGTGAAAACTATTTTTTGAAATGCACACAGTTCCTCCAACCATTAAAAATAAAACATGTATGAATAAACTACAAAAGGTCTATGCTTATGCAAATGGTATTTTTGTAAAGATAAAGGTAAAAATTAGAAAACAAAAAAAAACAAGGTTTGGGGAATAAACAGCGAAAATTAGAAGCCTATAATTGTATTACATCCATTTTTTATTTCTATTAATAACAACAACTCAGTGATTGTTTTATATGATATAGATGTCAGATATATATTCACACATACAGCATAAGCAACAGGTTTGACTTAGAGATGATAAATGATCTTTTGTTCAGTATCTTCCCCAGATACATTTCTGTTTTACAGTTTCATTTGAAAACATTACGATAAGAAACAAACCTTAAACACCTTTAACAGACCTGTCAATCAGTTTGGAAGTGACAGGAGGTTCCAATACTGTGTTTTGAATTTTGGTATTGGTGGGGTTATCCATTTGTTTACATTTGGACCAAATGTTGTACCTGGAATTTACGCATAAAGACTTACAACGAAAAACCTGTATAGAATTATTAAGGTGCTTCCTTACTTTGTCTATGATGGTGGCAGCACTGGATGCACTGACAGTCATGGACACTATAGCCCGGGTGATTCCAACTGCTGCTACAACAAAAACCTAAAAGAAATACAGGTGCAGAATATAGGAGAAAGTATAACTGATAATGCACTGTAACACTCCTGACAAACAATGAGCAGAGTTCCTTTACTGCCTTGCCAGGCACTGCAGAGCTGAGATATCCCCTTTTCTAGAGTTTTTATTGTTAGATTACCATCACTGGAATGATAAAACAAACAGAGAAATGCAGTACATTTTGGAAACAAAGAGCAAGCACCTGTCACTGAGAGGGAACAGACTATAAGGCAGAGCAGTAAACAAGAAAAAACCTTATCAGCAAGTTGTTCCACAAGGTCATTTGTCCCTGTTGTTGGACCAAAGTGAAAGTTAAAGGCTTTAACAGGTGTATCCTCCCAACGGTTTTATGGGGATCACTACCATAGTGAAATGTCCAGATCCTCAAAGTTTTGTTCTACCACTTCAAAAACTGATTAGGACAAACACAAGCACTACTGTGCAGCATGATGTCAATTTCCATATCACAATGAATACTGTATATTGGTGTTTCTGCAATGTGTGTCCTACCAGCAAGTAAAAGGTGACGAAGATGGGGCTAGAGGTGAGTCGAATCTTTGCCCTGGCTGAGGGCAGCTTCCACATCAGGAATACAAAGAAGGCCACATTAGGCACTAGCAGTAAAATGTCCCAGAACCGCACCCTGAGACAGAGAGATGAATGTCAGAGGATAATGCAGAGCTTTCTGAAAAATGTTATTTTGTCTGCAGTAGAGCCTGGGCATGTGAAGACACTTTGGTGTAGTCAGCTGGGAATTCACTTTGAACAGTTAGTAATTTATTCCCATTATGCATTTCTGTCACTGTCCCACAAGGATTCAAAAACAAACTATGTTTTACTAACTCTTTCATGAATTTCAACTGTTTCTTCTACAGTGTGCTACTGATTACCTGGAGTCTCCAATGTCTTCATACAGAACTTGCAGACATTTGTGAGGCTTGGTGATGTTGGCTCCAGAATCAGGTTTCCAAGTTGGGAATGCTGATGTGTTCTCCAGTGGTGTGGGTGAACTACTGCCATTGTATTGAGTAAACCTAACCACAGCAGTCACTGTGGCTAGCATGGTGTCAGAGCCTGAGGCAAAACAAAAATATGATTATGTAAGATATTTATTGGAACTGATTCCTCACATGAGCTGAGGCAGATATCTTGCTTCTCATTTTCAAGAATTAAGGACTTTCTTATTTAAAGGGAGGTTCAGTTTATGAGGCAGAGTGAGGAAGCTCATTCACGGATAATCTTTTATGAGTGCTTATTATAAGTGAATATAAGACAGATAAAGCTCGTGTCATTTAACCACAACAAAACACCTGAGCTGTTTCAGTTACAATCAGGGATTTAACAGACATAGGAGATGTACAATTGTTGGGATTGTTGTGGCAGGGCAGGCTTCTGTGGCAGCTTTCTCCACTTTAAGATAAACATTATGTAACAAGATTGGCTGCGACACCAGCCATGTGTGGTGTGGAGTTTAAAGTTTCAAACGGTGAAACTAACCTAATCCCATTAGCGTTTACTTATGTCTCCTCAACAGTGAGAGGAATGTCAATATACAATACCTTGCTAAAATGATAGTGAATCATAACTTATCTCAAAATACGGCTCCTTCATATGTTTTATCAAAATACTTCCAGTTCGTAAAGGGGATTTTCAGAGGTTAGCTAACGCTGCTACTTCCAGCTTGCTAGCTGCCGTCGGGAGATATGTTTGTGAATTAAAATTATATTCTCCTTCCATTTTCCTTAGAGACAAACACGGTAACGAAGACAATGTTGTCGGTAAACCTGTCTTGCTAATAAACATTAGGTACCACAGTCTAAAAGCCGACTGGCTCAGGTTAGGATCAAAACAAACGTGATCCTGGTGCAAGTGCAATGACGCTGACCAATGTAACGAGAGCTACAAATGATAAAAAATAACATCTTACCGATTCAGAAGACTGGGATTCAAGGGCGCAACTCGTTGTAAAATGTTTTAGAAACAATATAACTTGAAGCGCATGCTTCACACGCTATTATACACACTGTAATCGATCAACAAATCAATCACTAATACGGGACATAGCTGTACTGGAGAGTTTCGTTAAGAAATTTCCCCCATAAGGTCAGCTGACACTCGCCAAACAAGCGGAGCAACTCTCGCGAGATGACATGACATTATGACGTGCATGTGTTTGTGGGGGTTGTTTTTCATACGGTATGTGAAAGGAGGCAGGCTGTGGCAATACACAGGATTTTTTTTTAGATCTATTAAAAGTAAGAGAAGTAAAATACACATTATGAGAGGGTGACATAATATATTATGAAGCTTAGGATGCAAGGAATTTTGTAAGGACTTTATTTGTCTGATGGAAGCAGAAAAACATCATAAAGCAGTTTTCAATGTTTTGCCTTTTGGCTTGTTTGAACCTTTACACTGAGACAAAATAATGACTTCTGGACACATTATTTTGAGCACTGTATTTGAGCATTATGTTTAAAGCACACTGTAATTCAATCAAAGGAGGATGAAATCAGACTGTTTTCTATCAAGACATGGCTAAGGACTTTCATCATACAAATCAAGTCTCAACTTTGGTGTTTTAAATATTATGACATTGCTAGATTGTGCAGCACATTTGCTAAGGATTAAATATTGAAATGTAGCGATGATTATGAATAAATAGTGAGACGTGCTTTTGGGTGCCCTGACATCATCCTGTAGGCCAGGTGCACTGGTTCAGTTAGGTTGGCCTTAAATGTGTACACATGAGTCTTCCCACTGATGGGGCTGATGTTGTAGAAGCTCAGCCTGTGGGTCTTGAAGCTCAGTTTGATCTCTAGCTTCCGTGACACTGTGGTCCTCTTCAGTGGCACACTGTGACTCTGCTCAAAGGCTGTCAGGAGGTTATTGAACCACATCAGACACCAGGAGCTCCGGCTGCTTTCCAGAGCAGAGGGCAGCCCGCTACGTGCCAGCTTCCCACTGTAGCACAGACCAATGATCCACGGAGAGCCCTCAAGCTCCACCTCCCAGCTATGATCACCTTCTGAGAAGCTCTGGGTGCTGAGGACCTGGAAAAAGCTGGTGAACCTCTGAGGAGAGGATGGATATGGCTGTTTTGTAGCACTGAAAGTCACTGTCTTCAAGTCCTCTGAGAGAATGAGGTTGGGATGGGCTGTTTCTGGGTCAAAGGTCACCTCTGAGGGGTTGAGGGTGTTCCGAAGGTACCGCTGAACCTCTGCAAGTCTTTCCCTCAGCTCAGTGTTCATGGTTTCCAGCTTGGGACAGGCTCGTGTAGGGCTGACTTTCGATTCAACATGGTCTTTCTCTTCTCCCACTGGTTTTGCCATTAACTCCACAATGTGCGGCTGTAGACTTTGGAGCTCGTCGCTGAATGCAGTCTCATCTTCCTCAGTCAACAGGGACTCAGCTCTCAGCATAGCCTGCCTCAGCTGGTTAGTCAGCTCAGAGGTTTGACTGACTCGACCGATTATAATGGCCTCACCTGGACCTAACTCTTCTTCAATCATCTGCGTCACCTGCTCATTATAGCGCTGTGACAAATCCTTTATCTGTCCTAACAGTCTGGATACTTTCTCCCTCAGCTGAGCATTAGCATTGGTCACCTCTAACTCCTGCTCCCTCTCTTTCTTCAGAACAACCTCTGCCACCTCCAACTTGAGATTTAACTCTGTGACTTGAGACGCCAGTCTGAATTTAGGTTCATCCATTTCCATTTTGCCTTTGCCACTGCTTTTCTCATGATCAAAAGAAAAGGGGTGATCTGTGGATCCAGAACCGGTTTGTAAGCCATCTTGGCCGATGTCAGAAGGGTTTTCAGTGGAGCTGATTTTCCCAGCAGTGGCTTTGTAGGTCTCCACCATGCTACATATTTTGGAGCTTTTCACAAGGACTGTGGGCCCCTGATATACTGCCTGGCACTCAGGGCAGCTGTGTTGGTCTAGGCCTTCTCCCATGGTCTGCAGGCAAGCAATGCAGTAGGTATGACCACAAGGAAGAGAAACTGGCTCAGAGAATATCTGCAAGCAGATTGGGCAGGTAATATCCAGAACCAAAGCTTCTGCATGATTCTTTTCACGATTTTGGTTTCCCCTGGTCTCATTCACAGACATGGTGGCAGGTGCTGGAAAAAACAGACAACTCAGAGTCAGACTTGAAAAATATATAAAGTTTATGATAAGTAAAAATTAATTTAAAAATTAAATATTATATAATTATATTAAAAAGTATATATTATACCTCAAGAAAAATTTTGACCAAAATCCAAAAATACAATCTCATTGTATTCTTTTTTTTTCTCCAATTATCAGTTTGTTCACTGTTAATTTACCAAACGTGACAGTCTACATATTGTTTCAAAATCTTCCATGCACTGCAAGGAGTAAAATTCTGGTTGGATTTTCTTTTTTTTTTTCGCTTAGTTGCCTAACTATATTTAAACCGAGTCAAGCTTGTATAAAATATCCACCAGGTGATACCTTTTAACTCAAACACACACAAACATACTAAGAACATGAACTCAGTGTCTTCAACGGTGGACATGGTCCTGTATAATAAAACACATCGTGAACCTTTGTTGCATTTGCAACAGGAAACACCGGGCAGTTGCAAACACCAGCGTGACAACGCACAGCAGCACGATGCAACCATCCAGGATATGCTGAATGTAGTCTATATTATAAAAAAAATATGCCAGATGCAGATATACAGGCTAGACCAGGGTTACATCAAACGTTGTCTATTTTAAATGAGGAAGTTTAGTTCAAGAAAAAAGTCTCTGATGGATACGAAAGATGGAGAAATCAAAACAACGAAGGTCAAAAACATTTCTGCGTCGTCAACTGTTAGTGCGTCTGTTTACCTAAGTTTCGATTTCCTGAAAACAGGATCTGCACGCTGCTGACAGCTTTCAGACTAATGAACCAGACTCACCTTGTCAGCCCCAATTCTGCTTCTGGGCATAAATTTGATTTTAATTACTGTGGCTTTGCCTCTTTTCAAAAAAAAAAAAAAAAAGGTTTACATTATTATTCATAAGCATGTGCGCATCTTTTCTTGCACAAGGCGTACAGCCGGCGATTAATTGTTTACAAAGGATTTAATAAGTTAGGTTTGCGTCATTAAAAAAAACAGAATATCAAACAGCTTCAAAGCGTTACCTTGCACTCTTGTGTCGAGGCTTCCTATTCAGGTGGGAGTCAATAAAACGCACTGACGCACAGATCAGCGGCCAGACTCGTCCACGCCTTTCCTCTCACAGACAGACAGTTTCACTGGAGCAACACGTTTCAGTCTGACTTCATTTATGTGTTTATTTGCCAATCCTTTGATCATCTGACCCTCTATCTAATATAGTAGCTAAATGTTATGCCCTAAGTGCTGGTATATCACCAGTGTAATGACATTTTGTTTAAAACATTTTTTTCTTTATAATATACATAAGAAGTGTAAGCTATTGGAAATTAAACTTGTGCACTATAAAAATACAAAAACTAAAGATTAACAGAACAATCACGCATTTCAGATTGATACTAGAGGTCAAAGAAAATAGACATTGTTGTGTTTTAATTTAATTTATATTTCTATACATTTACTTTCAAAAGTAAATCCATCTCCTCACAGTTGGATGATGAAAGATATGCAAAAATAATAAATATAACAGTGTCATTGTAGCATAAAGGCACGGCATCAGGCTAAATCATTAACTGTTTACAAATCTGGAGTAAAAGTGACCTCAGTCTGACCCATCTCCTCTTTCCTGTAGTGTATAAACATTTCTAAACTTGGTGGTGCAGTATCTGGAAGGAATATCTGTGAAATGTTCTTTGTGTAATTCCACAATGATCATCCTATGCTCAGATCCACTTGTAATTGCATTTTCATGAACTGAAAAAAAATAATTCTATTATAATTTACAACCAACTCTTACTCCATATTCGGCTTTGACTTGGTAGTTATGATACATGAAAATTCTTCCGTACCATCCAGAGCTCCAAGGAGTTTTCACTCCACAGGCTAATGTTACTTAAAAACACTCATTGCTCAACAAAGATCAGGGCAAACTCCAGCTATCTCATACTTATTAGGGTCAAACCCAAAGACATTCTCTGCTGTCAATAATCTCCAACAAATAAGGGATAATAGGTTTGTCTTGTGTACCTGGGTCTGTTAAGCAGTGCTCTGAAAGTTTCCATTGTCAGTCACAGAAAGCAGGCTATAGTAGTTACACAGTTTTGGCATTTGCAGGAATTTAGGCATCGCTTAATATTTTACTAATACAGCTTAATTTCCCTATTTCTGTACAGATATATTTTTGGTCCAAGCTTAGAGCTGAAATGTGTATCAGTGTTAGCTATCATGCCAATACACTGCTTAAATTCATTTTTTGGAACGACTATGACACTGGTGCACACAGTAACAAAAAAACGGAAACAGTCTAAAGTCATATTGGTCCATTTGTGTCCATGTTCATTGTAATCTATAGCATGTAGTCAGTGTAAGGGCACTGAGATGAATGCATAACGGTTTCTGCACTTATTTCGAAATGCAGAGTCCATGCATATTATGACTTAATTTGGCTCTGTCTTTGAGTGCAGTGTAAAAAGGGACAGGTGCCTCTTTATGTTCCAGTTTTGTCCAGTGGCTCATAAAACAGGCTCTACAGTTGGCAGGTCCATCAAAGGCAATAATCAGGCATGCTGGGAAAAATCATTTGAAATGCCTTTCTGGGAAATGAGAGAAAGAGAAAGAAGAAGAGTATATGTGCTTATGCCCCTGCCTTACAACATGTGCATATGTGCGTTTTAGTACATGTGGGTGTGTGTCTACAGTAGTGCATCCAGGTCCAGTTCTGGCAGAGGCTCCTTCCAGTAGGAGAAACTGCTGTAGTCAGGACAGTCAAAAGCAGAGGACCCGTTGCCCTCAGCACAGAGTACAGGGAAGAAATGTTCCACCAGTTCACTGAGGTGGTTGTACCTGCAAAAGACACACACTTAGAATGATCTGAACTTGTAAATTAAAATGTGGAAACGCGCATCTATTCCCTGTAATATCCGTCTATCTCCACATTCTGTTGCACACTTACGAAGACTTGTTGCCTTTAGTCTTCTCCTGGATGAGCTCTCCTTTTGGGTTGACAGTAAATATCCTGGTGTCAGGCACTCCAACCTGCTTATAGGCATAAGCATCCTGAAAAGGCGAAGGCAGAATCATAATACAGTTACAGAGAAGAACTTAGATACCACCTCTGCAATATCTATGTACACTAAAAGGATCATTTGCCTATTACAGCGCTAATCCATAATCATAAACCGTTAGCCAGAGTTACTTTATATCAACGAGCAAAGCCCAGACTTTACTTCCACATTTCTCACACTTCATTTCTTCCTGCTGGGGTGTGTGTCAGGATGTGTACAATGAAATAATAACCATGTAACTTTTTCTGAACATGCATGATCTCTTGTGATTATGTACAAACCCAGGTTTTTTTTTTTTTTTCCAGAGGCTAAAATCACCGAACACCAAACCATGCAACCTAGTAGAGGAAAAGACTTAAAATAGACTCATAAAGGCTACTGCAACTCTGCAGCATTGCTTACATTAGTCCTGTTGCCGAAGGCCGCGTAGAAAGGCTGCCGCTGCGGGTTGAAAAGGTCCCTGATGTCACCGAGACAGGCAATTTTAAACACCTCCGGCTTCTTCTCAATCACTTCTCTGCACAGGTTAGGACGGACAGTTAAAAGTCAAAAGGGTTATTTGTTCCAGTTGTGTCCTTGTACATATTTCTTCCAGCGTAGAAGCTGAGCATTACCTATAACAATGTAGGAGATCGTCCACTATTGAGGGGTACTGACTATTCTGTACAGTGATTTTCAGTGTAAAGCTGATTTAATGAGATATGTGATGAGGAAGAAAGAGCGGTAAAATCCTACATCCAGCTAATTACATGCAACAGAACACTCTATAACATAAACACAACATCTTAGTTGGACACTGGCTGTTAAGTAAATTAGTGGTAGCTATTCGTTACCTGTGTAATGCTGAAAAGAGGCTGCTGGGAGCCAGCAGTACAGGGCCTTTAGGGAGGACAGTGCCTCTGTCATTGACCCATTGCAGGTAGTCCTTAGTGATGGCAGCCATACCTATAGCCCGCGCTGAACAATACAGGAACTTATAGCCATTTCTGCAAGGACAGAGACAACCACATTTGCCTTTTAGATCAACAAAATGCAAATGTGTTTTCCAGTTCTCTTGTATTTGAGCTGACCTTCAGCATTAAGCTCAACTTGTTCAACAACACATATGTAATGTATCCTGTTTCTCCAGATTTGTGTGACAAAAGATTAGCACTTCAAATGGAATTCAATCTTTTTTCAATTAACTGAACAGCTGGACTCGTTTTAAAAGCGCAAACAGGGAAACATGTGGCAATGCAGATTAGACAGTCAGCTGCAACTAGAATGACATCAGAATGAAATCAGCAGCAGGAGAGATGAGATCAGATCTGTTTGTTATGCTGTGAGTAATGTGAGTGAAACTTCAGTAAAATAAACTGGTAAAAAGGAAGAATAGAATAGAGAGTCTATTAAAGACAATTATGCTTTTTGCTCTTTATCTGCTGACAATATTTTCAGGAATGTAATTTCACATACTGGTGTATTTTGTGGTACAGCTTGGCAATGCCTTTGTGTGTCCAGTCTTTTCCAAACTGAGGTAGAATATGCCCCAGAGCATCAGACCTGCAAGAGACAGAAAGGGAAGATTATTCATAACACTGACAATGTGAGGTCACACAGTGTATCATTTTTATCAAGCAGGGACTCTGTATGAATCATTATGTATTGGACTACCGCTACGAAATAGCTTCAAGAAAACACGGCTGTTTTTACTTAGTGATGGTGCCATCTATGTCTGATATGATGACTCGGTCGTCCCAGTTCCACAGGTAGATGGCGGCCTCACAGCGACAGGTGCCTTGATATTGCGTGGTCACGCTGAACACCACCTTGTTGGCTCCCTCACGCAGGTTTAAGTGCTCCTGGTGTGGGACAGGGGGTAGTTAGCTGGGGTTTGACTGTTTTGTAAATTCTAAATAAATTTGATAGCAGAATGCATGAATGTGCAAGTGAAAGCATCTTTTACTATCTGTTCAGAGGTCAGGCGTAGTGATTTGCGGTACATCTGGCTGATACACTGGGTGGCACTGAGGGTTTCTGTTGATTGGCTTGAAGGTAGGATGGCTTTTCGGCCTAGCCCTGCTGCCTCATCACTTTCGATGTCATCCAGTGTGGCTCTGGTGAAACAACACACATAATTCAAACTGAATTATGTTTCTTCTTTTCAATTATTGATTATTACAATTATTAATAATTAAAATTAAATGAACAACTGTTTTTAAGTGTCATGAATTGTTTTTGAGAATACAGTATTCACTGAGTAATGTACTGTATGGATAAAGGTTTGGCGTACCCTGGAGGCCCAAAGGTAAACTACATTATGATGATGATGTTTGAATTGATACAGAAAATACGTGTCCTTAAATTAAAAACAAAAAAATCTAAGGATAATTTTCTGCCTAGTTTTAGTGCTGTGGTTTCTATAAGCGATGGCTCTGTAGCTGCATAGACAATCCATCAAAAGATAATATGCACCTCCTCAAAAATGTATCTATGTTATTATAGGAACAAGCAACAACTGTCATTTGTGTTTTTGGGCTGCTTTGTGTTTTTTCTTCAGTACTCGGCCTGTGGCCTCGTACCTATAACCGAATCACAGCTGCGATGATATTCAGTAAAACATCACGACCTCGAGTGTGATATTGCTTTTATACAACAGTTCTACGAGTGCCAAATTAGTTAAATAAGCAACAACTGATTATGATTTGTTTGTTTATTTTATTATTTAACTGGCTATGCCAACACAAATAGTTCCGCAACTGGACTGGTACTGGACTGTTGCGAAGCAACACATATCCTGACCTGCACAGTGCACATTAGCTTGTTACTTTGTCTACTTTGTTACCTCAGGTGTGCTGAAGTATCGAGGCTTCTTCCCTTCATCCTCTTCTGATGCCCGTACATCGTTTAATTCAAATGTTATTTCTGGAAATATATTCATCTTTGCGGCGCAAAGTTTGCTACAATCTAAGATAGATAACGGCATTAATGTAACGCTAATTAACTGTTAATAAATGTAATAATAATATAAATCAGAGTAATACATATAGTTAAAAGTCCCAGTGCCGTTATACTCTATATCCGCCTCCCATCCAAACTAATTTTTTTGGTCGGCACTAACTGTTGTATAATTCACATTTGGAGTGAAGTGTTCATTTATGGGCATTAACCAAATAAACAAAATACAGATGAATAAAAATGTACTGGCAGTCCTGGTCTTTCCAGCAATCAGACTGAATGTACCTCGACTGTACACTCAAACATTAGAAAGCAGTGGCACAGCTGGGGATCAGCAAGACCAGCTGAAAGTGATTCAACCGAAACAGAGCATACATTGTTTTATAAGGCTTATTAACTGATGTTAGATCACTTTAGTGAGGTCACTTACTTTACTGTGGAAGAAACACTGACCAGTGGCTCCTCTTGCTCCTCCTTTGAGTGTTTTTGCTGAAAAACAAGAAGTTACATTATCATCAACATTTTAAGACCATACAGAGTCCACTTGCTTCTGATCTAATCCCTTAATCGCTTCCATCTGTACCAGCCTTATTCCTCTCAAGAACAGCGCCAACTCACAAGGCCACTCCTGAAAAACACTGTTAGACTCAATGAATGGATTGTTGTGTGTAATTACCCATGCTGGCGCGCCACCCTAATTAATCAATAACTATTACCAGGAGTTCCTGAATATCTACCTGGTTATTGTCCATGTCTCTTCTCCTCCAGGAGAACCACCAACGTCCAGACTTTTTGGGCATCTTGTCCTTCACCAGCCTCTCTATCGTACTCTATATGACACACACACACACAAATACAGCAATGATTATATTAATCCTATCATCATAGTCACCACCTATCCAAGATCTTGTCTGTCTTATGCTGTTAATCTGTAAATCAATGCAGAAAAGAACTCAATGAAAACCTTTGTTCATGTTTTTAAGGAAGCCTATTAGTTGACATTATTGTGGACAGGTTTAGAAAGAATAAAATACCTTGGGCAGGTTTTTCTGGAAAGTTGTCATTGACAAAACCATTGGAGCAGCCACTGCCCAGTTATAATAGCTGTGAAAGATGAAAGACAGTTGATGAACAGCCATGGACATAAACCCGTTGAGAATGATAATTTGAGTCACTTCGTGAGCACTGATGTAAATTGTCATTTTTTTTAAAAATACATGATTATTATTTTTATCTTACTTGGAATTGATGCAGATGACAAGACTTGGATCCTCAATGATCCCTGGATTGTTGGCAAAATCCTGGTATGTCACAATGTGCTCCATAAACTTTTCTGGAGTAAGAGCAAAAGCAACATGCTGACTGATTTAACTCAGAGAGAAAAGTCATTCCCATTCCCTCATTTACTAGCACATATTTCAGAGACAGAAAAAACCCATTTACCCTTGGTGATTTGGCTGGTGTCGCCCTCTTGTCCACAGAGGGACATGCTGACATCCATGCTGTAGGAGGTGGAATCTGACAAGTACTCTGTGCCGCTGTCCATGGCTCCGCTGCCCACTGACTGAGGTGACTGACTTCCTGAGCATGAACCCTGCTCTGCCCCTTGCTGAGATGCTCCCTCTGTCTCACTGCAGGGCCACCAGACACGCAAAGTCATTTCACTTCGATTATTAAGCGTTAAAAATAAATATTTAATAGAAACCACAGCACAGCACTTGTGCCTTTCAATTATGTTTTCACAAGCCACACAAATTTTTGTTTGTCTTTTTCACAACATGGTTTCAAAGATCAATGAGTTCCTCATAGTGTATTTTGCGAAGAATATCCATATGTCTTCTGACCTCTTGGGGAAGTAGAGTGCAGCCACTTCTGGATCCAGCGAGGTCAGATCATCCAAGTAAATATCTGTTGGTCCTAGATGGTGATTACGTTTACCTATGGCAGAATGACACATAAAAACAACTGTGACATAAACTGACAAAGATACATATTCTTTTTAGACTTTTTAGAAATTTTTCTTAAATGAAAAAGCAACCACCTTTCTTTTTGCCCTGTTGCTCCACTTTGGTAGATGCGTCAGAAGAGTTTGCCAACCCGTCTGCAGCTGTCCAGCCGGCCCCGGCAGCTCCCACTTCAGATTTTGGTGCACTGTCGTCTTCCCCTCCCTCAGCAAAGGGATCTATTCCACTGTCCCCCTCACTGACAGGGGCACTACTGGTCGAACCCTGTTCACTTTGTTCAGGTGGAGCACCCTGCTGTTGTAGGTTTGATGATTCTGTACTACCTGGGCTTCTTGTTGTGACTGTGCCGTCTTCACTGTCTTTTAGTTCTTTCTGTTTGATGTCTTGTTTGCTCACACTGACCGCATTAATTGTACTAACTGTACCAGTCACAGTGCTAACGTGATGAACATTGGCTGTGCTTTCTTTGCTATTGAGGGAATCAGTGCCATTAATTAGACTAGCAGAATAAGAAGATGACTCTCTGTTCTCCTTCTCTCCTGATGTGGACTCAAGTGTGTGTGATGAGTCCACGTCTGTCTTCCCTGATGATGCACAGGACTTGAAGAGGTCACTGGGGGTAGAATGGGCAATATTAGAGTTTTTATCATTGGATAAAGGGGTGGTTTGGATGGCATGGCTACCTAGGTCTAGGGAGTGGGTCCTGGGTTGTGGTCGGACCACTGTTACGCTGCCCACTCTGCCACAGCTGATCACAGGCTCCAAGCCCATATCAAAGGAGTCCTGTCTCTCAATGGTGCGGAAATGAGAACTGCCTGAAGGTGAGATGCGCTGCAACTCCACTGATGTCCTCTCTGATTGACACAGCTGTGAGGGGGAGGGCAGAGAGAGCAATTAAACAGTGTGTCAACATGGCAATTTCAAATCTACAGCACTAATCACAGCACTGGCAGGCTGTAAAGACGTATCTACATCTGTGCATGCTGTGAGTGAGTGTGTTTGCCATACCATCGGAAAGCCTCCCCAGTGCCACTGTATCTGAGGCCCAGAGGACTCTTGGGATTTAACCAGAAGCTCAGAGTCGCTCTTGGGAGAGGATGGCCGACTGTAAAACACACTGCTGGGAAGGGGAGAGATATACAGAAAACTATCAATTAAGGCGAGAACAGTATGAATTTATCTCTGTCATGAAGCAGTGATTTCCAATTGTCTCCAAGTAAAATGGCTCAATACAAACAAATAAATGAATTCATTCATTTATTGTAAAGATTAACCTCCCTCACCTTTCCGAGGGTGACTGCTCTCCATCTGAGTGTGGGTGAGCATCTCTGGTCTGGGTGCCCCCCAACTCCTCATTTGGCTCCTCAGACAGTGAGTAGTACACCGATTTACTTTTACACAAACGAGAAATTTTTTTTATTTTTTTAGTTACTGTGTTTGCAGGTGTGAATACTGAACAACATGCCTCCTTGTGATGGGCTGCTTGTATTGGCAACGCCACTGAGAATCAACATCACAGTATGTAGCTCTTTGCAGTTTTTAGCTGCTTTGTGCTGACTGTTTTATTCTAGCAAGGGCCGTCCTTCACAAACTAAAATGTTGAACTACTATGACATCTTTACTAAAATGTAACGTCAGCAACAATAAAAACCTGTTTAAAGCGTGCTGCTTTGAATGCATGCTATGTGCATTTGTGGAATCATTTCTTTACTAACAAGATGTGCAAAGCTTGAATCATGAGACAGAAGACAGGACAACCACTGCAGAGGTGAGGGACAGATGACGGAAGGAGTTTGTAGTGTTAACTGGTGACTTTAGCCTGAACGTGTCAGTGGTTGCTAATAGTGAAGTAGATGTTAAGAAGATACGACACAGAGCATATGATATGATTTACCATTTAGCTAAAGCCAATTAGAGTCCCTGAATTCGTGGACAAATCACAGCTCCTTTTCCAAAAGCATGTTAGGGGTAGTTGATCATAAAATCCATCTCACTGTTTTCTTACAAGCATTATAAGCAGCACATTAAGCAGTGCATTAAGCAGCTCTGAGAAATAGATTAACAAGAAGCTCTTTTCTGCTTGCAGAAGGATTCAAGCATTAATTCAGTACATCCAAATTAAAAAAAAGCACAATCACTGACCTGACGTGTAATGGTGAGAGAAGCTCCTCTTGAGCTGGACCCTCCTGTCCAGCCTGACTACTTTCTCCTCTCTCCCACTCCCTCTCTCTTTCTCTCTCTTCTGATGAAGAGTTGTCGTCTCTCAGGTGAGTATCAGAGCGCATGCGTTTGCGACGGCGTTTCTTCCTGCGGGCCCCAGACCCGGCGACAGAGGCTCCCTCAAAGGTCTCCTCTATCTCCTCAGGGACCTCAAGAGGAATTGGGGAGGTGCACAGATGGGCCGGGACCTGGGACTGAGGGGGATAAAAAGAAAAAGAACTTACAAACAAACTGTCAAAAATTATAATTTTCCATTAAACTAATGGCCATTAATGCTGGCCATCTTACCTCCATATTTTCATTTTCTTCCACAAAAAAAGCTTCTCCATTGTCTCCGAGCTTCATGTGCAGGTCAACTGATTCGCCATTTATCTCAATGTCCACCTAAAAACAAAGCGATGAACTTATGTGTCTGAACGCAAACAGTCCTCAAAGCAACAGAAGAAGTTAAAAGAACCAAAAGACAGAGAAAAGACTCACAATTTTCTCCTTGGAGCGCAGCACACCGAGCTTGCCAAAGCGGACGTGAAAGGGGGAACACTGGAACGATCCATCAGGCTGTCGAACCACAATGACATCGATCCCTCCGGTGAGAGTGGCGGGGTTAAGGCCACGGTACAGCTCCTTCACCGTCACAAACACTGTCTCCGCTAACTGGCCCACAATATTCATGGTTTGGGACTGGAAACAAAAAACAAGAAGCAAGAACAGTGAGGCCCAGTCGCGTGACACAGAAAGAAAAAGTGTCTGCATTCAGGGTTTTCTGTAGTCTGCAGTTTGATCCTTCATTCTCTCTTCACAATGTCAACAACACTCAATAATAATGGCATACATTTATCATAAATACAAAAGCCATTATCATAGATTTATAATCTCTAATTACAGTGGTCATACGATTAACAAAATAAAATTAAGACCGCATACCAAGCATTTACTACATTAAGTGTACATTAAAATGCCTTAACAGCACATTTGCAAACCAGACTTCCTGTTTTAGAAGATTCTCACATCACATGAGTTCAGTTTTAGGCCAAGGAGCTTCAAACTTTTCTTTTTTTTTTTTTTCCAACTCTTTTTATTGATTTTTCACATTTTGAACATAGAACAAAACAAACAGTAATACAGACACCATACACATTTACACATACACAATAACATATAGAAGTTATTTAAGTTATATAAACTTATATAAGCTTCGAACTTTTCCACACAGGTTAGCTCTACACAGGAGGGTGGCCCCTGAATGACTGCAAACCGGGTTACTTCTTTGACCTTTAGAATCTGAACTCAATCATGAATAATGGACTAAAGGTCACCAGCTGGGAGTAAGGTGAGATCTAGTAAAGACAGTTATCTAGAGGTTTGTCTCAGACAACAGGAACTACTGAAGTCACTCAACAAATGGCTACAGCGAGTCAAGAAATCAAGAAATTTTGTCAAAGGCTACAAAAAACATTACGTGTCCTAGTTTCTACCTGCATCAACATGGCTAGACCTTTATTTAGAAACAAGTATGTTACCTCGGGTGGCCTTAAAAGCCCCTGGACAAAGCTTCTTTAAAAACACACTATCACAGCCTCTTACCTTGCAATACTATTTCTAAATTAGAAAAGGAACCGCTGAGGTGAATAAAATTGATTATGAAACAAACTTAAAGCATAAACTGGAGACCAGAGGATGTAATGTTCACTGATATTTTAGTTGTTCTGAATTCCAAGCTTTAACAAAGCTAATTAAACACATAACAATGATGTATCATGTAACACACACCTATGCAATGAATGAAACCTGTCTAAGGCAGTGTCTGTCCACATTACCAATCTCATGTCTTACCCACAGAGAAGGATGCAGATGTCCCTTCCCAACCAGGCAGTGTTCCCTTGACCTCCCCTCTGCCATACGTCACCTCTATAAAGGCTTGTCCCACCACAGGATCTCAGGAACAGTTTACCTCCATTTCCACCACAGGAACCTGTCATCTCCATCCACCATAATGCTTGGCTGCCTCTCACGGCTCAAGCCACTTAACCTCACCCCCATATCTGTCCATGGCTGTGAGCCTATATTTTGTTGGCTTTGGCCAAGAAAAAGAGATGTAGCTACAAAAGTTTGTATAGCTGATTATCCTAGCTGCTAAGCTACATCAAATAAGTGGTTATCAGAGATGACAGCACTCTCGTCCTCTCTGTTCTGAGCTAGGATGCAAAATATAGCAATCTATGAGAGAGTCCTAGTATATTCAGTCACACACTAATGCCTCCTCTATCTCACGCTATACATGCACACTCTCCTGTCACACTGAATTCATACTTCCCCACTTGCACTGCACATGACAGCCAGACCAGCAGTTTCTGAAAGGGTTGGACAGGCTATTCAAATACGTTTGGCATGAAAACACACACACACACAAACTGATCGACCACACTCTTTCTGGGCTTGACCACAGCTCTCTGGGCTATCAGAGATGAGGGGACTCTCCGGCAGCCATGCTCTGTCAACGCTGGAAAATCCCTCATAGGCCTAGCTAACTTGGAAGGAACTCAAGAAAATAACTTGTAGATTTTGATGGATATCACTGCCTGTGCTGCCTTAGGAAAAGGACATGACAGAAAGGTAGGCCTCAGTGGAAAAACAATGTAATCTAACATAATGAGAAGTTATTAGAGTTGATGTAGCTAATCAGCCTTGCTATTTAGTAAGAAAAAAACTCCAATCTGTTTTGCTATGCAACTGATCCAACAATGCAAATGTAAATTATGAGTTAGTAGCTAAAGGCCTTCTGATGTATATTACCACTTTCTGTGCCCATTCAGGCGTTTCTAATTATATATGATTTAGAGTGATGCTTCACTGAAACTGCCAGGTCAGCTCTATTTAGAAAGCAGGATGAATAGAAGCTCAGAGGAAACAATGGTAGTGAAAAATGAAAATGTAGGGCAGTAACGGGAGGACAGAAGAGAAAGATGGGTGGGGGTGGGGTTAATACTGATGTACAAGAATTAAATGTGTGATCTCTAGCAGCAAACTGTTAACGTATTAAACACATTCCTATACTACACAACAGTGTAAATAATTCCAAGCTTTACAACCTTTAAGTTCACTTCCTCTACTCACAGACAAATTCAAGCTGATGTTGTCAACACTAGGGCTGCAACTGACAATTATTTTCATTATGTATTAGTCTGTAGATTTTTTCTTTGATTGATCAACCAGTTAAGTGTCAAAAAATAGTTTAAAATGTGCATCATGCGCTCTGAAAGCCTAATGTGACAATAAAAATTAGTTTAATATATAGTTTAAAATAATATGAAATTCTTAATGAGGTTCTAAACAGTGAATAAGAAACACAATTTTGACATTTGCCTTGGTTAAATCCCTAAACGCTTAATCAATGATTGAAATTAAAATGAATTTCTTGTCAAGTAATCAATTTAGTTTCATCACAAGTTGACACACAGCGTTCTTTAGTCATTCACATAGTAAGCCAAATGTGCATAGTGTTCACCAGTTTCCCAATGATAAGAGCCAGCCAAGTGTGTGGGATAGGTTGTCTTAGTTTTTACTGACCTTTGCCTTCAAGAAGACACGGACGCAGATGTTACCTCACTCTAATGTAATGAGTTCTGTCTATCTGTCATCTCCTATTGAACAAAAAGTCTTTTACCTCTGATCTTATGCTTACGTAATGTCTCGTAATCATCATCACTGACTCAGACAGTACTGACAAAGTCATCCCTCAGGGTACAGGAGAGCTAATTTAGTGAGGGTTTTGTTAAGACTTGAATGAAAGACACCATTTCTCAGAAATGAACGAATAAAAGCTCGGTTTTACAAAGTTTACGCCACCTGCGTGTTGATACGTATATCGTATGTATAGATACACCACAAACTCTACTAACTTCCGCAACGGTTTCACAACTACCTTTCACTGTATATCACGATCCAGTGGTAGTCACTGAAGCTATCACTTTTAACTTTCAAGAAACATGTTTGTTTTACTGCCACTAAAACCACTAACGCTAGAGATGTATTCTTTTTTATGCAAGAGCTACATTTACTGTTCAGAACTTCATTGAGAATTTGCTTTGTTTGACAGGGAATTCAATGTTGAAACATTTTACGACCTGTCTAAAAACGACGTTTTAAGTTACATTAAGTAAAAGCAATGTACTTACCCCTGCTAACTGACTACTTAACGAGTTCATGACTACTAAATATGTCTCAGACGGTTCATTCTTCCTATATTGGTGATGAGAGAGTGAAGAGAGCAGCTTACCTTTCGGCCAGCTCTTCAGATTGAGAAAATAACAAGCATCCTGGATGCTTCCTAGTATACTGCGCCTGCGCAAAACACAAGTCAATCACGCCAACAGCCAATGGCCAAGCAGGAAAAGAACAATTGACCCGCCTGTAACTTTAATTTGTAAACAAAGCTTCTAAAGATGCTTAAATTCTTCAAGTTTTGAATTAATCACGGTAATATAAAATAAGAAATAAACAAATAATGATATTTTACATTGAATAAATCGTTAGCATATTGCAAAGTACCAGCACATGTAGACTGTTGATTGGCACTATCTTTCTGAGAAAAGACCCTCTCTGTTAAACTAAAACTAAAACCTAGCAAAAACTGATTTGTAATGTTAAACCCCAAATCTCGCAAACAAGGAACAAAACAAGCACAAACCCATATGAATTGAAATGCAACTTTTGAATGAGACAATGTTAATGACACCCAGATAAGATGATTTGATATATTGCTAAAGAGATTAAGTAACACAGGGACATTATATATTTACTTTTACATCCAACTCGTGCTGCTAGAATTAGGTTAAGTTATATTGCAGTGAAATATTTAGATATGGTTATTGGCCAGTCTACTAACCCCTGTGACACATTTATCTCTTTGAGCATATGATGAACTGCATGACCATATACAGTATGTGACTCAAAGCTTCACGTGTATACAGCCTGACTGAACAATTTCATAGCCCTCCCATTTTATTCTTGTCCTCATCATCATTCATTGAAGGGTTTTCAGTGTTTCAGAAATGATAACTAGTTAGGCCCAGTGGAGGGCATCACTGCACCTGCACAGAGACACATTAAACAGAGACACCTCCTTTCGGTGCTTGAATGCTTCCATTCATGCTCTGTATCTATTTTTTCATAATTAATTCCCAATTAAAGAAAGACTCTTCTTTTATCACTCAGAATATTAGTCGACTAAAAATATGAATATGGAGCAGTTCTCGAAAAGATAAAAGTAGATAATGCACTGTTTTAAAATTAAAATACTTTTTTTTTCTTAGCTATTCCTAGAGTACAAACTTAATACAAAGAATAACAGATGAAGACACAAACATAATGATATGTAATATATGTAGTAATTTGTAAATCAAGTCTTAAATATGCAGAAGACTGGAAATGGAGAACTTTTTCATCATCATTACAGAAATACTGAAATACTAAATGATCATTGTACAATTAAGACACTGACATATTTGATGTAATACACCCTTATAATGGACAAGTGTAAAAGAGAATAGGATTGCTAAAAAAAAAAAAAACATGTATTATTTGCAACGAAAGATATCCAACCCAAAAAACATACAAGACTCCAACTTCAACATGCATCTGGCACTGTTCAATTAAGGAGATGAAGATGATACATA